AGATGTTTGGGTACTACCTTATTTACATAAAAACTTTAAAAATAGCCAGAGCCTTGTTCTTTGCCAATGCCTTCAGTGTACCTTTAACTTCTTTCTTCAGAACCACTGGCTCTTGATCATATGCTACCTTTCTTTGGTTACAGAGACGTTGTGTATTCTTTCCATCTTCTTTTGATGCTTTTTGCATCATTCAATATCTTGCCCACAGAGTCCTTCAATATTCCAAGTTGAGGCTTGAATTTTTTCTTCAGTTACTGCAGCTTGAAAAATGCTGAGCATGATTTCTTCCCTTTTGGTTTCCCAATTCCAGATCTTTGCACATTTCATTATAATATTTGACTCTGTCTTCTTGAGTTGCCCTTGGAAATTTTCTGTTCAGCTCTTTTATTTTTCCTTATTTCTTTAATTTACTTTTTAACATCTCTATGCTGGAAAGCAGTTTCAGAGTCTCTTATGACATCCATTTTTGTCTTTTTCTTCTTTGTTGTCTTCTCATTGTCCTTTTGTTTCCTTCCTGTAGATGTCATTCCATAACTCTTCTGGTCTTTGGTCATTAGTATCTAATGTGTCAAATCTGATCTCTAAATATATTCAAGGTCAAATTTTGGCTCTTGTGGACTTGTTTTAATTTTTTTCAGCTTAAGCCTAAAGGTGCATGTGAGCAATTGAATCCTCTGAATTTGCATGTAAGCAACTGACTTGTCTGTCAGTTTGAGTACCGTGGTGGCTTGAGTACTGCTGTGATGCTGGAAACTATGTCACTGGTATTTTAATTACCAGCAGGGTACACCCATGGCGGACATATTTCAGCTAATGATATAGAGCTTTTTCACTGTCTCTTCCCACAGATGTAGTCAGGTTGATTTCTGTGTATCCCATCTGGTGAGGTGCAAGTGTATTTGTTATCTTTAATGTTATTTTAAAAAGGTATTTGCAATGAAGAAGTCATTGGACTTGCAAAATTCTATCATGTGATCTCCAGCATTGTTTTGCTCACCAAGGCCATATTTTTCCAACTACTGATCCTTCTTTGATTCCAACCTCTGCATTCCAATCACCACTAATTATCAACACATCTTGAGTGCATGATCAGTCACAGATTGGAGATATACGAATTCTTCAGATTCTTCATCACTGGCTTTAGTGGTTGGTGTGTAAATTTGAATAATAGTGGTATTAACTGGTCTTCCTTGTAGCTATATGGATATTATCCTATCACAGACAGCATAATACCTCAAAATAATCTTGAAATGTTCTTTTTGATGACAAATGCTACCATTCCTCTTCAGTTTGTCATTCCTTGCATTGGCTGGGATGAATTTCCCAGGGGGATATCCTTCTAACTGAATATACTTCTGGTGTGCTATGCCTTGCCACAATGTGTACTACTTGTTTAACTGTGAGCTGTTACTCTAGGTTCAAAGGCCACATTACTAAAATTCAGTTCATTTCAGTGACAGCTATTGGGCACTCAACATGAACTCCTGGTGTGGATCAACACTGGACTGTGAACCACATGTTTGGCAGTTCAAACCCACGAGTTGCTCCTCAGAAACCCTATACAGGGTCGTTATGAGTTGGAACCAACTCAACAGCACTTAACAGCAATAACAACAAGGCCTAGGAATTAAGTTAGAAAATATACCTATTTTCATATATTCATATCTAATTTTTATGAGACATAAAAACAAGTAATTAACATATGAGATCATAAATGTTTGGAAGATAAATGTTGTTTATTGCTAACTGTCGGATTCCTGTCAGAAATCAGTACTTGTTTGAGGGCCAATGACAGACAATGCTAACAAGAGAACAAACAGAAGAAGGGGTCCATATTTTATATAAAAATCTAAACAGTTTAAGTTATTTTCATTTATATGATTTCATATGACTTTGTTACCCTTGAAATAAAAATAACATCTATCTGTAACTGGTTTTAAAAGTATTTCTGTGAAAAGAAGTGTTTCATACAAGCCTATCCTGCACTTCTGTTATTACATAAGCTTCATTATAAAAGACATACTTTTTGTTTTTCTAGTGTCTTCCTGGTAAGACTGAGTTTTGTGCATCTGATTCCAACAACAAGCACTTTGGCAGACTTGTGAATAAATACTTGCTCAGCGTGGAAGTGCAGAGATGAAGGGTCAATGTAAAACTTCAGCAAAGTCTGTCTATTTTCTCTCTCTCTGAATGCCTGACACAAAAGAATGTGTGGGGCCGAATTCAGTGACAGATAATTACATTTAAGTGAGAATAATAAAGACCTAGCCATAATCAATTCTTCTAATTCTCTAGTTACACAAATATAAACATGTATCAGAATTGTTCATTAATCCTGTCTGATATTAATCTGGAAAAAAACATGGAAACCAGGATATCTGTCTGATAAGCAACCAAAACAAGAAAGTAACTTAATTTTAATTTTAATAAAACAGAATTTTGTTTTTCCAAAACTTGTTGGAGTTAATAAATTTAAGCTCAATTAAAAACTTTATTTTCTTCTAGATATTCTCTCTTAAAATCTTTGCTAATAACTTTTGTGTATGTGATAAAAAAATATATAAATGCATTCACCATTAAACATTATTTGTACAATTCAGTGACATCAATTGCATTCATTCATACAACCATCATCACTACCCATTTCCAAATTTTCCATTACCCCTAGCAGTACCTTAATGGCCCCTAAGTAATGCCTCTCTTTTTCTCCCTTGTTCCTGCCTCTGGTAACCATTAACAAACTTTGATCTCTATACATTTGCCTATTCTATTTAATTCATGTAAGTATTGTTGTTGCTAAGTGCTGTTGAGTCAGTTAGAACTCATAGTGACCCTGTACCTGTACAAGATTTCCAATGTGGCAAATCTTTGCAGGAGCAGTAAGCCTCATCTTTCATCTGCAGAGGGGCAGATGGATTCGACCCGCTGACCTAGTGGTTTGCAGTCCAGTGCTTATCCTACAGAGTCGCCATGCTCCCATCATATAGGTATGATCCTACAATATTTTTCCTTTTATGAGTGTCTCATTTCATTCAGTAAGGTTCGTGTACGTTGTAGCATGTGAAGGGCCCTAATTTCTCTTGATATCTGAGTACTCTCCCTTCACAGATGTAGATCAGAGTTTCTGTATCATCTGTAGGTGAACATTTAGCTGGTTCTCACTACAATGAACTGTACTGCAATGAACACTGGTGCACAAGTATCTGTTTGCAATCCACCTTTCAAGTCTTTTGGCTATATATGTAGGAGTGGAATTGTTAGATTATATGGTAATCCTATAATTAACTTTTTGAGGAAAACCACCAAACTGTTATCCATAGTGGAAAATGCTTTTAAGAACCATGATCAAGTACTGTCAGAAGCCTCTTGTATAGCTCTTCATGCTTTTGTTCAAACTCAAAAAATAATTTCAGAGTCAGATGAACATGAGTTATTTTCACTCTCCAAATATTTCACTCTCCAAATAGTCTTATAGATACTTCAGGCAGCCCCAAGAATTATGCTTGCTCTGGAAGATAGCTGGGCCACACCCAACACTCAACACAGATATTTGTCTTCCTGTGATCTGCTGTCACGCAGCATGGCCATTCTGTTTCAGGTGAAACAGAATGATAGCATCTGGAAGCTGCTCTTGTAGTCCTCTGATTGGAGAAGGTTATACATTTGGGTCTGAGTCCTTGACATGGACACAGGTGAGAGCATGAATTGCAGTGTTGGATACACTGACCTAGGTTCAAATTACAGCACCACCGCTTACTCGCTGTGTAATTGTGAACATATTTATTCTTGGTGAGCCTCCATTTTTCTTATCTAGAAAGTCAAGATAATACCTATACCAAAAGTTATTATCGAAATTAAAAGAGAAACTAAGCATAAATTGTTCAGCCCTGTGCCTGATGCAGAATAATAAATGGGGCCAGCTAATATTCTAGTGGCCGCTAAGATCCTAGTTTATTTTAGTGGTGCAGACAGAGCTGGAGGCAGTTTTTCTCAACATTGTGGTTACTGTCAGTTACCTTGAGTTGGCATTAACTCACGGCATCCACTTATACAACAGAACAAAATGCTGTCCAGTTTCTCACCATAACATGGGTATAACAGTAGTACTTTACCTCAAAACGGTTGTTGTTAAGAGTTAAGGAATAATACATGTAAAGGGCTTAGAACAGTGCCTGGTACAAAGGAGGCTCTACAGAAATGTTTGCTACTACTCTTATTCTATCAAAGGTCGGGCCTGAGACGAGAGTCACAGGGATTCTCTATCCAGATCCTGCAGTGAAGCAAGTTATGGCTAGTGTTCCTTCTCCTTCACCACTCACACCTGCCAAGCATCCACACATCTGCTCTTCTGCCAATAACTCAATAATGCATGTGCACCCAATTTAATAAGTCGCACAGCTCCACATTGCCTAAGAACTTGATTTTACATTATAGCAACGTATTTTGATATGAAGTCATTGGAGGATCCATTTTGAAGCAATGTGGTACCACACACACGACAATGGGTTAGAAGCACTGAGACCAAACTCTGCCCGCCAGGAATCTTTCAGTGAGCTACTCACTTCCCTAAAAACTGTTTCCTCAGTTTTATTATGAGATGTCTTCTACCTTACAGGTTTGTTATGACCTTTAAAAGACGTGAAAATTTCCTAGAAAACTATAAAGCACTAGGTCTTTTTTTTTATTCTTTTAATATTATGTGTCATTATAAAAAATTTGAAATGTTCAGCTTTTAAAGTATGATCAGCAAACTGCTTTTCAGTATTTTTATTCTATTTAGAGGGATATTTTTATCGTCTTGCTCCTAGTACATTACCCCACTAACTCTCAGACATTGATCTGCATGGTAAATCATTGCATGGTATAAGGGAAGAGAAAAAAACAAAGGCTAATAGTTAATTTAAACATAAAATGTGCTAGAGAGATCTGACCTTGTAAAACTAAGGAAAATTCATTCTACACATTGTTTTTTAAAAATACAAACAAACAAAAACAATTACCTGGCTGAGAGAATGAAGGAACGTTCCACACTTTCAATCTTTAGCTCATTCTGATACGCTTCCTGAGTGGGTTTTCTGACCTAGAAGCAAACACAACATTCTCTACTAAACAAAACAAAACCAGCTCTTATGTACTTCTTAGCATAATTAAACATTTGAGATTAAAAGGGCAGTATTTGCCCAAGGACAAAGTTCAGAAGGGTTAGGGAAGAGGACGAATGGAAACCTGAGAAACATTGGGAAGAAGTGGGATAAGTGATATTACATTGTGTGGAATTGCAGTAAATGACTGATGTATGTATTGCTGAATGGAAAACTGATTTGCTCTGTAAACCTTTATTCAATTCACACATATACATAAAATCCCAATTCTGAAATGCAGATAGAGGTTCCCAATGCCCCTGGTTGCTGACTTTTACAATCTACCTTCTTAGCTAGTCTTATCCATCACGACTCTTGGTCATTTACTCTGTGCTTTAGATGAATTTAAATACCCCTACACACAGGACAAAGATACCACCTCCAAGCCTTTGCTCATGCTATTGCCTCACCCAGAATGCATTTTTTCCCATATCTCAACATGGCTAAATTGACGTATCCTTCAAGGCTCATTGCTTCCTCCTAAAAAAATCATTCCCTGTTCTCCCTTGTTCCTAGCTGCCAGCAATGGCTGGCAAAATGTCTTTGTCAATGCAAGACAATGTCTATGTCCTAGCCAAAAAAATTTCTGAACATCTAAAAACTTTTAACTGTGTCATTAAAGTAATATTTATTACTATCTACTTCATAAAATTTTTATTTTTATGTGACCTTGAATATATCCCACCTGAATTTAGAGATCATCTGAAGAAGAGTTTTGATACATTAAACACTAAAGACAGAAAACCAGATTTGTGGGATGACATCAAGAATAGCATACCTGAAGGAAGCAAAAAGTCATTGAGAAGACAAGAAAGAAGGAAAAGGTCAAAATGGATGTCAGAAGAGACACTGAAACTTGCTCTCCAGCACAGAGATGCTAAAGCAAATGGAAGAAATAAGGAGGTCCAAGAATTGAACAGAAAATTTCAAAGATCAGCTCGAGAAGATAAAGCCAAATATTACAACAAAATGTGCAAAGATCTAGAGTCAGAAAACCAAAAAGGAAGACTCTCAAGCTGGGGGAATGGAAGTAAAAATTCAAGCCTAGACTTTCGTTATTGAAATATTCTCTGGGCGAATTATTGAATGATACAGAAAGCAACAAGAGAAGATGGAAGGAATACAGAGTCACTGGACCAAAAGTAAATGGTTAATGTTCAACCGTTTCAAGAGGTAGCATATGATCAAGAGTCAAGGATACTGAAGGAGGAAGTCCAAGGTGCACTGAAGGAATTGGCAAAAAACAAGGCACCAGGAACTGATGGAATGAAAATTGATATCTTTCAAGAAAGTGAGGTGGCATAGGAGGCACTCACTCATCTCTGCCAAGAAATTTGGAAGACAACTATCTGGCCGACTGATTGGAGGAAATCCACTTTTGTGCCCATTACAAAGAGAGATGACTCAATGGAATGCGGAAATCATTGGGCAATATCTTTGATAAACCATGCGAGTAGAGTTTTGCTAAAGGTAATACAGAAATGGCTACAATCATGCATTGACAGAGAACTTCCAGAGGTTCAAGCTGGATTCAGAAGAGGCCATGGAACAAGAGATATCATTGCTGATGTCCAATGGATCTTGGCTGAAAGCAGAGAATACCAGAAAGATGTTTACCTATGCTTTATTGACTACGCAAAGGCTTTCGATTGCGTGGATCATGACAAGCCATGGACAACATTGAGAAGTATGAGTATTCCAGAACACTTAATTGTGCTCATGAGGAATCTGTACCTGGACCAAGAGGCAGTTGTTAAAACAGAACATGGGAACACTGAATGGTTTAAAATTAAGAAAGGTATGTGACAAGGTTGTATTCTTTTACAATACTTATTCAACTTGTATGCTGAGCAAATAATTTGAGAAGCTGGGTTCTATGAAGACAAATGTTGCATCAGGATTGGAGGAAGATTCATTAACAACCTGCGAAATGCAGATGATACAACCTTGCTGGCTGAAAGTGAAGAGGACTTAAAACAATTACTGATGAAGATCAAAGAGCACAGCCTTTGGTATGGATTACATCTCAATGTAAAGAAAACAAAACTCCTCACCACTGGACCAATAAATAACATTCTTATCGTTCTTTTCAACAGAGAAAAGATTGAAGTTGTCAAGGACTTCATTCTTCTTGGATCAACTATCAATACTCATGGAAGCAGCAGTCAAGAAATCAAACGATGTATGGCATTGGGCAAATCAGCTGCACAAGACCTTTTATAAGTGTTGAAGAACAAAGATGTCAGCTTGAAGACTAAGGTGTGCCTGATCCAAGCCATGGTATTTTCAATAACCTCATACGCATGAGAAAGCTGGACAGTGAATAAGGAAGACCCTAGAAGAATTAATGCCTTTGAGTTATGGTGTTGGAGGAGAATATTGAAAGTGCCATGGGCTGCCAAAAGAACCAGTATATCTGTTTTGGAAGAAGTGTAGCTAGAGTGCTCCTTGGAGGCAGGATGGCCAAACTTCATCTCTCATACTTCGGACATATTGTCAGGAAGGACCAGGTGCTGGAGAAGGATATCATGTTTGGTAAGGTGGAGGGTCAGAGAAAAAGAGGAAGCCCCTCAGTGAGATGGACTGGCCAAGTGGCAGCATCGATGGACTCAAGCATGGCAACAGTAGTGAGGACGGTTGGCCCAGGATCAGGCAGTGTTTCGTTCTGCTGTGCATAAGATCACTATGGGTCGGTACCGACTCAATGGCACCTAACAACAACAAATTCATAAAAAATTTTATGGTTAGTAGAATATTATATTCTCATTGAGTTGTTACACTTGGGGATGGAGGTGGGGAGGGAGAGAACAACAACAAAAATAATCCTGCTTTAAATCATTTTTATATATTCTACCAAACCTATTACCATGTTTTGTTCAGAGCTGTTCTCAGTAGTTATCCCATGAATGAATTGATGCAAGAATGAACAAATACATGAATAGTAGCATGCAGAGTAAAAAGTTAAGAATGTGAAAGAGACAATTATCTTAAGGCTTTTTCTCTATTTGGGTTTAAAAAAAAAACTAACTAGCACATAGACCCACCTTCATTCCAGCCAATGAAAGCATGTTGTTTAGTTTAAACATCCCAGACTGCACCGGCGTTGTGTACAACAGGGTATCATTAAACTGGAAGTAGAAGTATTTTATAGCAAAAGTAAACAAATTTCAATGATAAACGTATAGACAAGACACAGGAAGAACACTGTCTCTGCTAATAGCTATCTGAATAAAACAATTGTGTTTTACTAACAAACTAGAAGCACATAGACTTTTAAAACAGAGTATTGCTTCAAAGTAATTTCTGAAATATATGCTTCTTTTTCAAGTCCGCTAAGTACCACTAAGGCATTACAATCTGTCTAAATAAATAACTAATAAAAAACAATTCTTACGAATCAGAAATGAAGTAAACTAACTCCCAAGAGAAAACAATTTCCTGGTTATGCATCATAACAGATTATATTTCCCTGTACTTGAAATTCAAAGCTCCCACTAAAATCATTATTTGAATGTACTAAGCTTGTCTGTCTTGTATAGCTGTCTCCTTCCATTAAGCAATGATGCTTGCCTAGGACACACCAGAACCACACATGGCTTCTTACCAGGAAAAACATTCGGGGCTGCATGACTTTCCGGGAGAGCTTCATCAAAGTTCCTTCTTTCAGAAAGACCTGATTCATGCAAAGAAACACCCATTTAATCTACCATCATAGCACAGCTATAACATATAGACACATACACACACATGGTATATATGGGTTGCTGTTGTTGTTCAGTGTCAAGTCAGTTCTAACTCAGTAACCCTGTGCAGGGTTTTTGAGGAATGGCTGGTGAGTATGAGCAGCCGACCTTGTGGTTCGTAGTTCAGTGCTTATCCTATAGAGCCAAACAAGAACTACAATATACATATATATATATATTGATATGCATATATAGAGCTGTAGTATGCAATAGCCTGCTAACCACAGGGTGAGCAGTTTGAATCCATTAGCCACTCCAAGGGAGAAAGATTAGACTTTCTGCTCACATAATGATTTCCAGCTTGGAAACCTTATATAGGGTCGCTATAAGTCTGAACTGACTCAAAGGCACAAAACAACAAACATATATGTAAATCGACACAATAACTCTATAGTGTATATACTGGACAGCTAGCCACAAAGTTGGAAGTTGGAGCCCACCAGCCTTTCTGTGGGAGAAAGATGAGGTTTGCTGCTTCTGTAAAGACTGATGTCTTGGAGACCCTATATAGGATAACTATGAATAAGAACCAATGCAACTACATTTAACAACAACAAAATATATATGTAAATTGTTTTTTCCTTACACTTTTTTTTTTTTTAAAGAGGGGAGGTTGCCATAGTTTCCTTGTGATTATTCAGTCATAGTTTTATTTTAAACCCTATAAATCATTTAAGCATTGGACAAGCTAACAGAGTTTCATAAATCCAGTATTAGTCCCAGGGGTCCTCTGTGGTCTGTTGACCACTGCTGTGCTCTATAAGGAGAATCAGAATACCAGTTTTCTCCCTCTCCTAGTTTTTTTTTTTTTTTGAAATAGACATCTGATTGGAAATTAAAGATCATAAATGATATTGTCTGTAAAGCTATATGAAGTCAGCTGATATCACACAATAACATGATTCCATTTAATCAGAGACTTTGGGATCCCTTGCTGTCTCCTAACTGAATTGGACTTCTTGTCATAATGTCTGAAATCATGAATGCTTTGAATGGATAGAATGAATTTAGTTGATCCAGATTGAATCAATGAAGACTAACAATTGCATATATCCATTTTCATAACAGAAATAAAAATGAGCTACAAATGGCACCTAAATGCATTGCATTAAATTTGCAAAAGGTAGTCTAAAACACGTTACCCGTCCAGGCTGCACAATTTCATGGTGTCCATTTAGGCTGTACTGAATTTGCATAAGCTTCTGAAAATTGTCCTACAGAAAGAGAAAGTTAAGTGCATGAAGGCCCATTCTCCCAGGTTCAATTGTATACAAACAGCTGAAATCAGTATACTTACTCCTTGCTTCATGGTGTCATTGGCATGGTTAGCTACCTCTATAACAACAGCAAGGGCATCTAAAGAACACAGGAACATAAAAAGTGTTGGTTAGTACAGCTGAAAGGAACAGTGTGCAACATTAAGCAATTCCAGTTGGCAAGGTAGCTAATTAACAGTAGTCAGCATTTGAAGAACGTCAGTTATCTGTGACTAGGTAGAAACACTGATGACATGATTCCAAAGGGCAAAACTAAGGAAACTAATTCAGGAAAAAGCTAATTCAGAAAAAATGAGTCAAAGAAACTCTAAAGATAGTACCATGATATCAAGGTCAGGGTTATTTGTATTAAGATTTGGTTTGCAGTTAAGTTTACAGAGAAAAGGACAAGAAAGATCTCACCTGGAAGCTAAAAGGATCTGGTATAGTGTAATAGGGCTTTCTGTCAACTTGACTAGGTCAGGATTTCCAGAGGTTTAGCATTGGGACGTGCTTAGTTCCAAGGTGATGAAACCCAATATAGGCATAGTTAACATGAGTAGCTATGAACAGCCAATCAGTTGAAGGGATGCTTCCTTGAGGGTGTGGTCTGTTCCCAATCTAATGGACACTAGGGAAATACTCTCTCCTCTCTTCCCCTGGGAACCTGGGACTCATTTCCTCGATAATAAACTTTTCTTTAAATATATACATATGTTTCACTGGTTTTGCTTCTCTAGAAAACCCAGCCTAAGACAAGTAGAAAGCCAAACTGTTAAGAAGGCCAAGGCTTAGCCTTCTTCTCTTTGTCTGGTCCCAAAGGCAAGAGTTAGAAATGGAAATTTACTTGACCTTAGAAAACTGCAAGCACTATCCTGTGTGCCCTAGAGTGGTGCTGTAGGATAAACACTGGACTGGTAACTACAAGGTTAGCAGTTCAAACCCATCAGCCACTCTTGGAAATCCTACACAGGGGTGCTATAAGTCAGGACCAACTCAATAGCACACAACAAGAACAATCCTGTGAACTGGGTTATTTGACTTCATGGAACTATCTATGAGTTTTAGTTTTTGTTTATTAATCCGTTGTCTTTATCAAGGAGACCTTGGTGGGCCATTAAATGCTCAACTAATAGCTGACACACAGATGTTTCAAACACACCCAGAGGCACCTTGAAAGAAAGTCCTGGTGATCTGCTTCTGAAAGGTAACAGCCTTGCAAATGCCATGGAGTACAATTCTATTCTATAGCACAAGGGATCACAATGAAATCCGAATAAGTTCAACAGAATTGTTTTTTTGGTTTGTTTTATTTTTGCCTTTAGCAAAGTGTTTTTGAATGCCTAGAATTGCCATCTTCGTTACTAAGTATAAAATTTAAAAATCTATTTTGTCTGTTTTTGGGCTACAGTAGTTGTTAACAACCCAAGGCAATAGAGGTCTCCAAGGGGACATTTAGACAATTTTTGATAGTCACGATGACTGGAAAGGTCCACTAGTATATAAAGATATGAGTCAGGGATGCTAAATACTTGGTACAGTTCCTCACTAAGAAGAACTGTCCCATACACAAGATAGTAGCACTCACATTGAGAAAAGCTGGTAGGAAATCAGAGCTCTCCTGAGGCTAGTGTGGTAGTGATAACAGCTGTTGTTTTAAGTGCTGTTCAGTTGGTTCTGACCCATAGCGACTCTATTAGGGCTTCCGAGGAGCGGCTGGTGAGCTAGAACCTCCGACTTTGTGGTTTAAACCGACTTTGTAGTTCAGCGCATTAACCCACAGCGCCATAGTAGTCATCAACAAAATTGTGGTACTGTTTACTTGCAAACTAGTGTTCTAATGGATGGAATACTAATGGGTGGGGGAGGTGGTTAGGATAATATTGCTTCATTAAACAGTACAGGAAGAATGCGCTCTTTTAGACTTCATCTTTGATTTATAGTGTTTAGTCATTTCATGAACTCCTGATTTTAAAGCTTGAATAGAACTTGGAGATCATTTAATTAAATCCTCGCTTTTGAAAGATGAAGAAATAGGTACCTAGAGAGGCTGTATTTACCACAAGGAAAGAGTAGTGGAGAGCAGGAGGGGAGTTTCCTAATCCTAGACCACGTCACGAGTGGTGTTTTAGAATTACAGGATGACTAACTGCAAGCTTTGTGGGTCACACCCAAAAGCCACTCCTCAGAAACCCTATACTAGATCACTATAAGTCGGACCTGACTCGATGGCAATTTATAACAAGGAGAGCATGCTGGGTCCACTTGCTCAGGTGGGTGGCTCTCATGACGAACTTCTATAAGCATCTACTGCCCCCAGGACCATTTTAATTACTTTATCTACTTCCTCCATTTTCATCTGCTCAACATAGTTTAGGAAAGAGGCTTTAATTCTTCTTATGAACAAAACAGAATTTTGCATTGGTTTTGTTATCAATAAGTTTTTACTTTCTGGTTGGAGGTTATGTGCTGTAGAGTCGGTTCCGACTCATAGCGACCCTGTACAGGGTTTCCGAGGCTGTAAATCTTTATGGGAGTAGAGAGCCTCATCTTTCTCCCATGAAACTGCTGGTAGTTTCTAACTGCTTACCTTGAGGTTCACAGTCTGATTTGTAACCACTATGCTTTCTAGGTCTTAATAAATAATACAAAGACTTCTGAAACATAGGAGACTGCAAAATTTATTTACCTTGAGTGTCTCTGTAATCTCTAGAATCTTCTAAGAGATTCTTCAAATAATCTAGAGGGGAAAAAAAAGGACTTAATACAAGCAAAATACTAAAGCACAGTTAAGGATTGAATTTTGTTCTCCAAAACAGATATCATGGATGAAGTCCTAAGTGCCAAAACATGAATGTAATCAATTTGAAATAGGGTCTTTACAGATGTAATCACATTAAGATGATGTCATTAGAGTGAGCCCTAATCCAGTATGACTGGTGGTTTTATGAAAGAATAGAGGCACAGGTACAGACGCACCAGGAGAATGCCATGTGACCATGTAGGCAAAGACGTGAATGATTTGTCTATAAATAGAAATGCCAACGATTGTCAGCAACACAATAAGCTAAAAGAAAGGCACAGATTCACCACAAAAGCCTCACAGAGCATTGTTATACCGACTCCTTGATTTGGACTTCTAGCTTCCAGACCCTCCATACAACAGAACAAAACACTACCCAACTGCACTACACTGCGCCATCTTGCAGCCACTGGGTCAATCCACTTCGCTGAGGGTCTTCTCCTTTTTCATAGACCCTCTACTTTACGAAGCACAATGTGCTTTTCCAGAGACTGGTCCCTCCTGATAATGTGTTCAAAGTACTAAAGGAGAAGTCTTATCACAGTACCTTCTAAGGAGCAATCCAGCTGTACTTCATTTTGGAATAAGAGAGAATAAATTTCTGTTGTTTTAAGTCACCCAGTTTGTGGTACTATGTTAAGGTAGCCCTAGGAAACTACTGGAAGTATTGTGGCTCCATAGGATAAGCATTGGACTGTGAACCACAAGGTCAGTGGTTCGAGCCTACCAGATGCTCTGCAGGAGAAAAATGAGACTTTCTGCTCCCACAAAGATTTACAAGCCTCAAAAACCTTATACAAGGTCACTACGAGTCAGAACCAGCTTGACGGCACTTTTGCAACAACAATAGGAAACTAATACAAGCAGAGTAAAAAAATAATATATCTTTCTTATTCAATACTTCAGTCAGTCTAGTTGGGTTAATGCACATATTAGTTCAACTTGTGCTAACTTTCTATAACTGGAAGAGAATGTTGTTAAGTGCCATCCAGTCAATTCTGATTCATAGTGAAATCGACAACCTTGCTGTTCAAACAGACCTTGTGGTTCAGTGCTTACCCTACAGTGCCACACAGGACTCTGGAAGAGAATAAGGCCTTGAAATAAATGTGAAATTAGGACACAGAATAGAAAATGGAAAGGGCTTTAGAGGTACAGCAATCATTTTAAAGAGAAGGAATCAGATTACTCTCTCACCTGTCACACCAATTAGTTAAGGCTGGACTGGAATCCACATCTTCTGGTGCCCAAGCCAGCTTTTGAATTCCAGCATATAGGAAATCTCTTAATCTTGATATCAGGCATAGGCCTGGTATAAGATTCTAAGACTTTAGTAAAGTGGACACTTAAGAGACTCCTCTCAAAATTGCTATCATATAATAATGCCCAGAACACCAAAGGAATTCAATACACGTGGTTAAACCATGAGTATTCATTAGGGTATGAATTTGTCTCTCAGGAGACAGTTGATAATATCTGGAGACATTTTTTATTGTCACAACTGGGTCAAAAGGGTGCTACTGGCACTTAGTGGTTAGAGGCCAGGCATTCTACTAAACATGCTACGATGCACAGGTGAGCCCCACAACATGCAATTAGCTGACCTTTAAATGTTAGTAGTGCTAAAGTTGAAGAACCTTGGTCTAGATGAAGATGACCTGAAAATAAGCAATGTGACACAGAATGGTTCTTAAAATAAACCTTGAGTTAATGTTGTTAGGTACAGTTGAGTTGGCTCTGAATCACAGAGACCCTACGCACACTGAATGAAACATTGCCCAGTCCTATACCTTCTTGCAGTCACTGTGTTCCCCTTTTTTGCTGATCCTCTACTTTACCAAGCATGATGTCCTTTTCCAGGGACTGGTCCCTCCTGATAACATAGCCAAAGTACCAGAGACAAAGTCTTGCCTTAGTACCTACTAAAGAGCAATCTTTTTTTAAAAAAAATATGCCACTCTGATTCCTTCCCTACCCACTTTCCTCTTGAAATTCATCAAGGTGCTCTTGTTCCTATGTCTATTAAAGTTATTTTTGTCTATGACCAAATAAATGGTGAGTTCCATATACTTTTTAAGTAAAATGGTTTAAGTTATAAAGACAATGGTAATAGGCAGGGATGTAGCAGAACTGAAGATTTGCGTGAAAATACACACAAACTGATGTACTACACTGGCAACCTGAGAACCTGCACCTAGAAGCAAATGTCTTACTCTGAGTGTGTGCCTTGCCCTCAGTACCATGATATGGCCTTCAATGTCAGAGTATCCTAAACAGGGAGGTATGCTCGCCATTTATTTCTACATCTGCAATTAAGTTGACTATAATTTACAACCTGGATGGAAACAGCACAACTGACAGTCAACCACCCAACTGAAAGCTCCTTAAGTTTCGTTGCTACTCCACATACAGTTCAAAGTATTACATTCTTCATATTCTAGCATATTCAAGATAAAAGCTAGATTGCTGACCTCCATATGATAAGCACCGGACTGCGAACCACAAGGTCTGTGGTTCAATTCCACGAAGATTTAAAGCCTCAGAAACTCTATACAGAGTTGTTGAGTTAGAATTGAATGGGCAGCTCGTCAGTAACACAAAGGGAAATTATGAATAGTCTTACACTATCTAATGAGGGTGGCATGGGTTTAACATAGGAAATGGTTCCTGTATAAAGTAGAAAATTTTATTTGCTGCTAAGCATGAGCCATTCATTAAAATCACAAATTTTAACTAATCTTTTAATCAAATATTAGTTACACAGTTAATGTTATGTACGAAAACAAACTAAAAAATGGTCCAAGGTGGGTCTTTATCTGGGCAAAAAATAGAATCACTGTTCTTAATTATACACTAATTTCACCAGAAGGTGAACCCTCAAAATCCCAGGCCTTCTTATGTTGTTGCTGTGTAGTGTCAAGTCGATATGGACACATACAGACCTTATAAAGCTCATTACCACAGAGCTGATTCCAACTCATAGCCACTCTAAATAGGGTTTCTGAGACTAAAAATTTACGGAAGCTGACAGCCTCATTTTTCTTCCACAAAATGGCTGGTTGATCTGAACCACAAACTTTGCAGTCAGCAGCCCAACCCCACAGCACTATCAGGGTACCTACAGACCCTATAAGACAAACTATGTCCCATAGGGTTTCTTTGGTTGTAAATCTTTATGGGAGCAGATTGCCAAGTCTTTCCCCATGCAAAGCAGGTAGTGGTTTCAAACTGCTGGTGTTTCTATTATCAGAAAATGCTTAATTACTGAGCCACTACTAGAGCTCCTTATCCTCTTATACTGCTGCTGCATGACGTCGAGTTAGTTCTGACTCATAGTGACCCAGCATAGGATTTCCAAGGCTGCAAATCATAAAGGGAGCAGAAAGTCTCATCTTTCTCTCGTAGAGTGGCAGATGGATTCGAACTGCTGACCTTGCAGCTAGCAGCCCAATATATAACCAACTACAGTACTAAGGATCTTTCTCAAAATGTACACAAATCTACAACCCATACATCTTCCAAAATAGATTTGCTTGTTCTTCTGGAAATCGCAACATTCTTCGCCAACACCGTAAGTCAAATACATGCATTCTTCTCTAGTTTTCCTTATTCACTGTCCAATTTTCACATGTATGTCAGGCCATTGAAAATAACATGGCTTGGGTCAGGTGCAACTTACTCCTCAAACTATTATCTTTCTTCACGAACACTTTAAAGACGTCTTTTGCAGCAAGTGTTTTCAATGCATTATGTCATTTGATTTCTTGACTGTTGTTTCCGTGGGTCTTGATTGTGCATCTACGTAAAATGAAATCCTTGACAACTAACTCCTTGTTCTATTGAAATGACAACCTCTTGGTATATGTACAGGTTCCACATGAGCACAAGTCAGTATTCTAGAATTCCCATTCTTTTAATGTTATTCATAGCTTTTTTTTTTTTTTTTTATGATCCACACAGTTGAATGCCTTTGCATAGTCAATAAAGCACAAGCAAATATCTTTATGGTATTTTTTGTTTTCAGCCAAGATCCATCTAATGTCCACAATGATATCACTTGTTTCACATACCCTTCAAAATTCAGCTTGAAGTTCTTACTTGTCCATGATGCTACACTGTTTTTTAATTATCTTTAGCCAAATTGTACTTGCCTGTGATATTGTTCAAAGATCTCTGCACTCCATTGGGTCACCTTTCTTCAAAATGGGCATAAACATGGATCTCTTCGAATCAGTTAGCCAGGCAGCTGTCGTCCAAATTTTTTGGTATATAAGAGTGAGCACCCCTAGTACTACGTCAGTTCGTTAAAACACTTCCATTTCTATTCCGTCAATTCATGGTGGTGGTGGTGATGTGCCGTGGAGTCGGTTCCAATTCATAGCAACCCTGTACAGGGTTTCCAAGCCTGTAAATCTTTATAGGAGCAGAAAGCCTCATCTTTCTCCCGCGGAACAGCTGGTAGTTTCAAACTGCTGACCTTGCAGTTCACAGCCCAATTCATAACCACTACGCTTGCAGAGCTCCTTCGTCAATTCATAGAGCCTGTTTTTTGCCAATGCCGTCAGGGCAGCTTGGACTTCTTCCATCAATATCATTGGTTCTTGATCATATTCTACCTCTTGAAATGGCTGAATATCAATCACTTCTTTTTGGTACGACTCTGCATTTCCTCCATCTTCTTTTTATGCTTTCTGCATCATTTAATATTTTGCCCATAGAATCCTTCATTATTGCATGTCAAAGCTTGAATTTTTTTCTTCAGTTCTTTGAGCTTGAAAAATGCTGACCATGCTCTTCCCTTTTGATTTTCTAACTCAAGGTCTTTCCACATTTCATAAAATATTTGAATTTGAATTCTCAAGCTGTCCTTTTAAATTTTCTGTTCAGCTCCTTTACTTCTTCATTTCTTGCAGTCACTTTAGTTAAAGAGCAAGTTT